GGCGGCGGTCCATGAAGTTGCTGTTGCTGGGGATGCTGCTGTTGAGGCTGCTGGTGCTGAGGCTGCTGTTGCTCCTGTTTCTTCTGACGGTCGCGTTGAGTGTGGCACTGGGCGTTAGTGTGGGACAAGTGCGGATGTAGGTAGCAGTGGTCGCTGTCGGCTCCTCTCTCTCCTGCTTTCTTGTTTCCTCTCCCTCTGCTCCTGCTCCGACTCCGGGCGCCTCCGTCTCCGTCCTGTCCCCCGCCGTTTCCACTCGACCCATTTTGGACACGTCCATCGCCCCGGATGCCACCGGAAGCGACGAACGCGTGCCCCGCGCCATTCTTTGGTTCCTCCTCCCGACGGCGAAGCAATTCCAGCATATGTATACGCAATATACCACGCGCATGCTTTGCTACAAGTATATCGAATAGCACTCACATGTTTTACGGGTCGAGTTCGGGCGCGTGGCTGGAGCGTTTGTCCGTCGCCACCGTGAGAGAAACAGAGCAAGGATAAAGACAACCCAACCGCCGCGTTACCATTTGGTTCCACTACAGGTACGTTGCGCACGTAGACTGCTGCACCGTATGCATGTACTGCTGGATGCCACCTGCGTTGTAATCGAGAGGAGAACATCAGTGGCGCTTCACACCGTTTCGTATCCACTACTTGCTCTTCTTGCCTTCCCTGCGATCTCATACCCAATGGACCACGCTATTGAAATAGTCTTGTCGGTTCCATCAAATCCCAGTCAAGATTTGTGGTGCAAGGATTGTCATCGCCCGCTTGCAACCCACGACTGATGTACACTACAGCAGTACCATAACTCCAGTGGATTGCAGAGGTATCTCTGCAACAATGATGATGCATCCCTGCACTAAACGCGTGGGTCTTAATCACCGACCCCCTCGTATGCAAGCCGCAGTCGAGTGTTATTAGTGGTTCACCGATAAACAGATAACAACCATAACCATACATCCATGAGTTCCACATGAAAAAACGACATGACATTTTCAGTACACTCTGTGCGTTCATGATGAGTTACTTCGGACAGTGCTCACATGGTCCAAACATTATTTGATGTTTACCGGTTCCTCAAGGTTCCAACACATTCATACGATCGCCTTACGTCGATTTTTTGCGGAAATGCCGCATCCTCTGTGAAGGCGCCTTCCATACAACAAGTTCGTTCATGGAAATCAACCCAAAGTGGTTCAACCGCAGCTGCTAGACGAAGTTCGTGTACAAAGTACATGGTATCTTAATGACCCCCATGAGCAAGGGATCAAACCATCGTGGCCGTAATCTCGATCAGAGCCATGGCCATTAAGCTACAGGCTTAAATGTGCCTAGGCCATTCAGAAGCCTCCAACATGATAAAAACAAAGAAAGCATGCAACACCTCACGACGAACCCCTCTACCGAAGTAACTAAAAGAGAACGATTGCTGTAGTAGTGTGGACGCAAGTTCGCGTGGTCAAAATTGCACTACATTGTACAGGATAAAGTACAGAGAGGCCTTCTTTGTTTTGGTTTTGCCTTGTATCTATTCAACAAAATGAGTGTTGTACTCAAATTTGACAGTGAAATCCGACAATGTGCCCCAACCCGAAAAAAAAAAACTGAGGTGATGTGTGGACTCCTGACCGGTTTTGAAGGGTCCTCGGAGTGGGCCCCCGAAAGTCGGTTCCACGTATCTGAATGTCAGCATCATTTTTTTTTCGCTCTGGTATAGTTCAATGAAGCTTTCCATAAAGTGCTGTGGGATAACTTGTAAAGCTTGCGCCACATGGGGCTTTGTTGTGTAAAAGGGGC